ATGGAGAGAGGGAACTTTTCTCCTGGTTCAAGTCCATCTGGAATGGATCTCTTTGATTGTCACATCGGTTAGTTGCTTTTCTTTTCTCTGCTTCATTCTCCTTGTAGATATGGTTTCATGGGGGCTCAATCTCTTGTTTCTTTTTTAGTTATTTGCACTTTGACCAGTCTTGTTTTGTTTGCTACTACAGCACCAAGGATGTATTCTAACACACAGGAGATGCTGAGGAGAAAAGCTGAGCAAGCTGAGCTGCAACAAGCGCTAGAATTCCAAAGGAGAAGATTTCTGAATCTGCAGTTGCCCGACATGGATAGTGAGTCTTTTCACCATCACCAGCGTAGTCTCTCTATTGGCTCCCCCGTTCATTATCCCTCTCGTGCCAATCAAAGTATGCTCTTTCGATCAGAAAACGGCGGTGAAGAAGTTATAGAAGGTAATTCTATCTCCCCCTCATGAAACTTGGCTTTGCTTAGCTCTTTTATTCATCTTGTTCCCTCTCCCGTTTTTCCTCTTAGCAGGTAACGGTGATTCAGGATATTTTCAGTCTGAAGCAAACCGAGCTTTTCTGAGTGGTACCGATCCTAACAACAGCCAAGAACATGATTACAGTAACCATCTCAACAGAGGGTATGATTAATTCTCATCATTTTCAGGGTGGCTTTAAGTCTTCTCCATTTTTAGATTCAAACTTGGTTACATCCATGTTTATACCTGCTTTTATTATCATTGATCAAGGCAAGAGACAAGTCTGGATAACATTCTGCCTGATAGCTTCTTTGCGTCCCCATCAAAGTTCGGTGATGCCCAACAGCCCGAGTCTGAGAAAGAGAACTGTGCTACACTCTCTCTTACTGCGGAAAATAATTCAGCCTCAACACTTCAATCAGCATAGCTATTGGTATGTGCCAAATCTCTGTTAAGTCATTATTGCATAACAATCGTTAACATCTCAGCGAATTCTCCTTGTAACTTTCCAGGGTCGATAGAGGAAGATAGAAACAAGTGAATGCGTGAAAAGGTACGCATTCTAAGCCCATAGTGTAACTTGAAGCTCCTTAACAATGTGATCGGTTTGTAACTATCGACATGGTTTTAATATCTTTGGTTGCAGAAAAGTAGAGACTGATAAAAGAAGGAAGTAGAAGGA